GAAGTCTGGTGTACGTCATCTACACAGTTGTGTTCTGTTACTGTCTGTGCTCCTCATACAGGTATTTCACTGCCATTTCAACAACAACTTCTTCCCTCTATTCCTGGAACATCTCCTGTCTGACAATATCTCTGCCTCTACAGGTTCAGTCTTACTTGGTAAGAACCCCTTAACTTAGAGGAATTAACTCATAGGCTCAAGTCTTAATAGTTTAGGACTGCTAGAGCTAGGCATGGGCTAATTATACCAAAAAATACATATTCACTGCATTATGAAACTAACTGCAAGAAGAGGTCTTAATTTTTAATACTGGGTTTGACAGTGCTGTATGGGAAACAGACTAAAGCTGTTCTACTGGCACGCAAGCTTTATTTATGACAAGCAGACCTCAGTTGCCAGTGAGCTGACGAATATGTGGAGGCACATCTTCCCCAAAAATAATCATCCTGGATTTAACGATCAAGAAGCTGTCAGAAATCCCATGACGTTCTGAACTAAGTGTGAGGAGATGGAAATGTGACTAAAACAGAAGAGATTTGTATTTTTATATATAAGTTGCATGTTATTTTTGGCCATTCACTTCCTTTTTTTTTTTTTTTATTAATTATTATTTCTGCTGATGCGTAGTCTTTTTAAGGCAGCTCTGCTTCTGCTCTCACGCAGGGATCTCTTACATTGCCCCCCACCTGAACAACTTGTATTTCCTGACACTGTGCCAGCGTTATGGAGTTTACCAGGTTATCCGCTGGCTATTTATGCTCAAACTGGGACTTAGTGTGGCTATGCTGCTGGCAGGGGCTGACCACATTTATCTGCTGTGCATCTTCATTGCTAGGTATGGCCACGCTTACACGTCAGCACACGCATCAGGGATCTGATGTGTGACAGCTTTTTTTATTTTTTATTTGCTTGTTTTATTTGTGTATTCAATGCTGAAAGTGGTTAATCTTAAAGAAAAAATAAACACAGTAGCATATACAGCGGGTTCAAAGAATGCAAGAACTTAAAGGGACTGAGTACTTTGCTTGCTACTGTATCAAGGACAAGTAGAACCACTTTGTGCACAGCATTCACAAGAACACGCCACAGGCTGTTGCCAAGTTAACTCAGCATTTGTTATGTTGTGTCCACATGTAGTGTTAAGTTTTCTTTGCTGTAACTTCGCTCCAATTAGGGTGGCCTTTGCCATTGATAATGAGCACGGAGGCTTAGTTTATATAGCTCCAAATTAGCCACAAAGGGCGTTAAAGTTTGTACAAGGTAGAGTACCCTCTCACCATAGAGCCTTGAATCAGATAAGGAAAAATAAACCTTTAAAAAAAAAAAGAAAAGTATTTCTGGGTGTACTAACCCTTTAATGGGGGTAAAGGAGAAAAGAAGAGCAACTGAGGAGGGAGCTCTCTTTCAAGGTAGATAGGAAAAATAGCAAAACATTGTTCAGTAAATAAAAGGCAAACTTATGAAGATTATGGATCAGGTAAGACATGAAGTAGCTTAGCTTCCAGGTGCTCCAGTTCTGATGAGTCTGACTCACAGTATTGAGGGTACGGCCCACAATCTGCTTTTTTTTTTAAAGTTAACAGGGTTTAAATTCCTTTTCAAGCACTAAAGCCCAGTCCTGATGGTTGTGTGGTTAGTCACCATCTGTGGTAGAAGTAATCTGTGTGTAAATGCTTTTGGTTGTTTCAAGCCTTCAGGCTGAGCTGGTACAAATCACACTGACTGCAGGTGACACCATAGTGTGGTTTTGCACACACAGGCTCACCTAATTCCACTCTGTTAGGTCAAACTCTAACTGTTCCCCTCCTTAGAGGCTGCTTTGAACATATGAAGACATGATGAATATAAACTACATTGCAGCTGATGTTTCCCGTTAAAAGACTCCAGACTGTTGGGTCTCTAGAGTGTAACCTGACGTGTCTTCCTCCTAGTAACCGGGTGTTTACAGAAGGGACGTGCAAGCTGCTGAAACTGGTTATTTCGGATCTGGTGGACGAGGACTTTGTGGTCAACCGACGTCAGCAGGCCACCTCTGCTCTCCTCTTCGGGATGGTTGCCTTGTTGACCAAACCTGGCCAGACTTTGGCGCCACTCATTGGCACCTGGCTGTTGTGCGTCTACACAGGTACAGACAGAAACACTGCCACAAGTTGCTGCATTTGTCTTTGTGTCTTTCTGGCAAAGTATCTAGTAGTATCTTTTGTCTGTTTCTCAGGTGGCTCAGCAAATTATTGGAATTCCATCTTTATCTATGATCAGTGTGTTCACAACTGAATGATGAGGTTTTGTATAATTGAAATCTTAAAGTGAAACTGTTGCAAAGATCATATAGGTCTGACTTGCACAAATGGACGAGCGAGACAGATCTGCACAGACAAATAATATGGATTTATTTAACAGAGGTGTAACCACATGTTCTTATCTCATCTTGTGACCAGTTTAGGTTGTAAACAACAGCCTACACTCTCAAATGAATGGTGGTCTTTTTCCTTTAAGGTTGATTTTTGATCTCATAAAAGTGTTTTTTATGGTGTAAGGAGAGTTGCTCTTTATTTCAGGTGCTGTAAAACACCGGGAAAGCCTGTAAGGAATTCTTTTGGTCTGTTTTTAAGCTACAGTGCACATTAATCAACATCACTATAAAAATGTTCATGTTAGAGAAAATTGTTACATAGATGAGCGTGCATCTAATTTGTGCATACGCTGAAGAGGACAGGACCTAGAATAGACTGCAGACTTAGGTATGTTTGATGTGTTGAGTTATTAGGGTTCTTTAGTAGTGAGTGGGGTTTATGTCATATTCTTTACATTTTTTGCAGGACTGCCTCATAACAAAAGATTAAAATCTAGTAAGGTTTCCGTTCGGGAACCATCCATCCTGAGAAAGGAGTTTAATGTGTGAAATCCATATATTGAAGTTCATGGACCTACTTTTTTACCCATGCTGGTTTTATGCTCCTCAGGTTATGATATTTTTGAGAGGGAACCTGTGAAGGACTCTGTGGTTTCTGTGCCTCACGTTGCCGCTGGCTCAGGGACTCAGCCTCTACGCCTTGGCTGCTTCCACATGTTGGTGTTTGTGCCTATCACCTGCGCCCTGCTCCAGCTGGCCACATGGTCTCGCTTCACGCTCCACGGCCGCAAGCTGCAAGGGATCAAGACCCTAAGGCAAGGGGCCCAGCATGGCCACCTTATTGATGTCAAGGCCATATGAACTGAACAAAGCTGGGTGAATCTGCAGGCAGAAACTTTTAAATAATCAGTTTTACAGTCTCTTTTTATTAATAGTTTGGAAGGTGATGAAGCAGTGGGCTGTTCTGATTTGGTCAATAACTCAACCTGATGTGCAAGAGTATAACCACTCCACAACATGAGATTTTGTGGACAGTGAACAGTGCACGATGGACTGATTGATCCCACTGGGAAGAACATGAATGGTTAAAAAAATTTTACATAAAAGAAAAAAAAAGAAACTTGCCTTATTTTTTAATATTAAATTATTGACCTATATTTGTATCTGAACAGATGACCAAATAACATTAATGGACCAAGAGGATAAGTTCTGATGGTGCAGGCCAAAGATGTGGTGCTCTCCTTAAAGCATTATGTAAAGCATAACTGTAGCCTGGAGTGCAGTCTGAATGCCCTTGTTGCTCAGTGATTATCTAACATCTGGAAGACCAGGGGTTTACTACAGAACTACAGCTGTGAGTTCTAATCTTATTCACAAGAAAATGAAATAAATGTGTTCCATCAGTGTTATTGATGGAGCAGGATGGAGCTTGCACCTCAGAGCTGGTAATCATTCACTATTTCTTTATATGCACACAGTTTGGTGTTGAGAAGTAAGTGATTATATGTTCAGTATTGATGATGTTTTTGCACAAAACTGCCATTTGTCTGCTTTACTTCTAACACTGTAATTGTAGCACACTGTGTATATTGTAATATTCCATTTTAGAATATGTACTTTGTGGTATCCATATTATGTTAACTTTTGTCATTTTTCAGAATACACAGAGGATGTGTGGTATTACTGCAAATAAACTTTTTACTTGGGGTAAAAGTGAAACTCTGCTGTGATATGCCATATTTATAAGGTCTTTATTAAACCACAAAGCTGAAATGTGAAATGTTTTGACCATCTGACTGTTCAGTACATTTCTGATGCTCGTGAGTCGTGAGGTGTAGGAAGTGGAAACAAAGGTTCACTCAGGAAGTGTTGAAACCTACAGGTGTAATTCACAACCATTGTGGGAGAGACCAAATGTGTATTTTAGTTATTTTTTTTAAATAGCCTTCTTAGCTCTGAGAAAATGTGCAGCAGACCAAAATATTTATGTTAAGAGCCATCTAACTGCCACGTGGTTTTTTGACTGAATGAATCATCAGCAAAGTGACTTGGACAAATAGGTTTAGAAACATACGTCATGGCAAAAATTTGGGATTTTTGTTGACTTCAAAATTTCACGTTGCCCATTTCAGAGACTGCAGGCCTGTTTTTGAGATTTCCAGTTCGGCAGCGTAAATAGTTGCTACGTTCGCTGAGACTTAATTTAATTTGGAAATCTAGGAAAACTTTAACAAAGTTATTTCGCGTTTCAAGATGACAAAGACTTTGTGCTGGTAAGTGTCATACGAAGAGGGAAGGAGCAAGAGGTGTTCCTCTCGTTTCTTGAGCCCCCTGTGGACGTAAAGCGCAGGCGCAAGGTTTCCAGCCCTATTTTTCTCTTTCTTTTGATTATAGTCATGTTTTTATTTTCACAGATAAGCTTGTTAATTTCCTTGACAAATGTGTTGATGTTTGCTAGTTGGAGGGCTAACAAAGATACCCAGGGGTCCTAAAATACCATATGCATATACGTATATATCCGAGAGCAACGAATTTCTCCCAGCATGCACCGCGCTCAAGCGTTCAAAGGTTTGATAAAAAAACTCATTTTCATTTCAAATGTTCTTTTTTTTCTAAATGATTAACGTATATATCCTGTTCACATGCATAGGTTTTTAAGTCATACACAACATAAAACTAGTATTTGTGTTTATGCAGTGCCACCGTCTCTATAGGGAGTATGTCCGGGAATGAGTTCTTCCAAGGTAGGTAAGTTCAGTTATACACTCATGTTTCTTTTCATATCGTATAAATCTTTCGCCTTTTACTAAAGATTTCCGTGGAGAGAAACAACATGAGTCTTATCTAATTTTTTGATGCCCTGCTTTTTGCGAGGCTTCTAAAACTGTTGAATATAATAAAATAATACAATAACACTCTCTTTCTGAGTATTGGAATTTTTTACGTTTTCTGTTTGTATATACCTAAGTGCACATTGAGTGTTTACTGCTGCACATGCTGCTCCCATGCAGCACACATTCTCTTATATACATTCATATTATATAAATTTTTATTAAATTGCTGCATTTCCTGCATAAAGTGCCTTAAATTTTGTGTTACTTATTTATCTACTTTATATTTCATTTGCATTGTGTGGCATTCATGTCGACGGCAAAGTAAGAATTTCATTGTAGGTCGAAAGACCTACCTACTAACTGTGCCTATGACAAATAAACACTAGTGGTCAAAAGTCTGCAACAGCAGATATATACAGGGACATGTATTGACTTGGACATTTCATGTTACCCGTTTCAGAAGCTGTAGGCCTACTTTTCTGTCTGTCTCAGTTCTTCACTGTCAATAGCTGCTACGTTACGCTTGCTGAGACTTAATTTAAAGTGGAAAGCTAGAAAAACTGTCACATGACCAACTCGCTCTGCGAAAACGGAAGCAGCAAGAGGTAAACCCATTTCGAGTCCCCGTGGGATCACAGCGCATGCGCATTGTTTCTAGACCTTTTTATTCTCATTTAGATTACATTTATGTTTTTAATTTCATGAATAAACTTGTTAATAAGTTATTCGGCAACTGTTTTGATTTTTGCTATTTGAAGGTTTAACAAAGGTAGCTAGCGATCCCAAAATTCCACTTGTATCCGAGATCATGTTGCTACCCAGCATGCACCGCGCGCAAGCTCTCAAAAGTTTGTTTAAAAAATATATAGTATAGTGATTTTACATCTTTCCCCTAAATGATTAACGTTTATATTGTTTGTCCACATGCATACGTGTCTAAATCATACACAACATAAAACCATTAGTTGTATTTGTGCAGTAGCACCATCTCCATGGGGAGTATGTCGGGGAATGACTCCCTCCACGTTTGGTTCGTTAAGTCATACACTCATGTTTCTTTTCAGATCGTATAAATCTTTCGCCTTTTACTAAAGATTTCCGTGGAGAGGAACAATATGAGTTTTAACTAATTTTTTGATGCCCTGCTTTATGCGGGGCTTCCTATGTTGTTGAATATAAACAAAGTGCTCTAAGTTTAGCGCATGTTTTATAATACTACTATGGTATTTCTTATTTGTACAGTATTGATAACACCAGAGACCAAGTAGCCTTACATAGTTTAAAATAAGTATATAAAGAATGAAATGCATAGGACAGTGTACTTATTAATACATAATACATCCAGTACTTTGGTGCAAAGGTTCTAGACATTACAATGAAAGTGAGGATGGTTTAAAAGAATAAATGAGTGAGTGAATGTCTATCCTATATTCACACAAAGTGCAGCAAAACACAAAGAAATAAAATACAACTTTAAATCAGTGTGTCCTCACACACTAAAATTCAAGAATGGCTTGTGCACACAAATTTATTCCATATGTCTTTTTATTTAGGTTAATTGTCATATATCTGCTTAAATTTCAACCGTGTCTATTTTATTTAGTTGTATTTTTGATGCTGATATGTTTTAATGTCACACTGAGTCACCAACTTCCCACTCCTTCCAGTCCACCCTCCATCCTTGAAGTGCCACCAAAGCATACACAGTGGAAAGTATAGATAAAATCAGACTTCCCAGTTCTGGTGGTTTGTGTACAGTAACGTATCAACAGTTCCCTGCTTTGGTAGAGACACGCCATCAGACATAACAGGAAATAACAGAGAGACAGAAGAGCAGAAACGATAGATGTACTATAGGCTGCAGCTGGAGCTGCATGACTTCAGCTCTGTCGATGCAAAAGTTCTTCAAGGTTGTTTGAGCGACATCCAGTGAGGGACTATTTCTGGAGACAAAATCAGGCAAGGAGACGACTTATCCCACGGTGAAGACTCAGGTATGAAGTCACTTCGTTCAGTTTGTTTTAAGTCTGAAAGGAAATTCCAGTAAATTTGAGTTGCACCGACTCACCATTCCTTTTGTAAGAGATATTGTTTGTTGAAATTCATTTGGAATTTAGTCAGGGATTTTCCTTTTTTGGTTAGCTTTTCATATATTTGATTGTATTGGCCATTTTCTATGAATTTGACAGTGTATATATGATTTCAATATGCATATGTTCATTCAGGCCTTTTAAAAATAAAATGTAAATGTATGGCTACAACAAAAACTAAATTGTATGTTCTGTACATGGAAGAGTTGCATACCAGAGAATCTTGTTTTCTCATATTATGTGTTCTGTAGGAGACAGCAAAGAACCATAGCTATACAGTGAGCATCATGAATTAAACACTGTGATTGCCAGGTGACATCAGGCTGGCGCTGAGTCGAGCTTGGTGCACGCTTCCTGTTTGTGGCTTTGCAGTTGTCAGCCGGCTGCTCCAGTGCTCTGTGTGTAGGCTAAAGTTGCTCTGCAGCAAATGGAAGCAACTTTCTGTGCACAGTAATAGAGGTTTTTTTTCCTCTGCCACACTTTCAGACATACTCAAATCTGAAACCACATCCGTTATTAAATGGGTATAACAAGGACAGAGCCAGGGGTCCGTGCGATCAGGGAGCCCCTGGGTGTGTGCCTTTGTTTGAAGTTAACATACATATCTTATTGGAAAGTTAAACAACAGCAAAGAGATACAGAATTACTACTGCAAAGAGATGCAACATGACCCCAAAGATACACATAACTACAGCAAAGAAGCACAAAATGACTACAAAGAGACACAAAAATGAGACGAGAATGACAAAAAGCAGACCTAAAAACTCTAACAAAGACATACAAAACAACTGCAAAGACGTGAAATGACCACAAAGAGTCACAAGACTATGACAAAGAAACAGTAAATGACTGAACAGATACTCTTTTGTAGGTGGGGGGGGGGACATTTTACATATCTGTGTCCCAGGGTTGTTGACACAAACATGTCAGGGGGCTGACGTGAAAACAGGTACAGTAACATGGTCCATAGGAAGTGGGTGCGAATGAGCTGTGACTGACATTAATAACTACTGTTTGAAAGCCACACCTCACTTCACATTTCCTCTTATTTCCAGCTCCACGATGTTAACACTGTACGTGTATTAACAAGAAGCCACGTGTTGCAGCAGAGCATGGAGCTTGTGGCTGTGCAGTATGAGTTTGAGTACACGGCGAAGGACGGTCGCCTTGTGTCCATCAAGCCCAATGAAAGTTACATCCTGGTCTCCAAGACTAATGAACACTGGTGGCACGTACGCAAAGACCAGCACTCCAGGCCCTTTTTTGTTCCTGCACAGTATGTGAAGGAGCTCCCGTCAGTCACCGGAGACTCTGATAAGCTGGATTCATCTAAGTGTGTGACTAACAATAAGCCAGTGGATGTGGTGGCTGATACCAAACGTAAATCAGCACCAGAAATCCTTGTGTCCGCTCCAGATACTTCAAGAGCGACATACCGATTCTCCACTTTTAGTTTCTGTAAGGACATTTGTGAGACTCCGAAAGGAGGACAGACCAGCTTTGCGCCTACCCTGGATAATGTAAAGACACACAATTCAATGGGAGGCTTCTCAGTGACCTCTGACAGCCTGCAACTGTATGCAAAAGCTTATCATGTGCCAAAGGTCAGAATCAGACAGCATGAGTCAAAAAATGAGTCAAAAAGCTCACTGCAGGAGGATAAAGTGGACCAGACACAGATGTTTGTAGATGACAAGGACATGGACTTTCCTTTACCCCCCAGTCCACCCATATATGACACCATACCAGAGCTAAACATCTCGGAATTTCACACCTTTTCTGAGCTGCCTACTCCTGTTCCTTCAAATAACATAACGCAGCAGGAGAGCTTGAAACCAACCACACAGGCAACTTCTACACATGCACTTTCCGTTGAGCAGGTAAGGGTTTCATGCAATATGACTTTGTATTAATGTTTCATTCATTGTTCTGTATTAGTGTCATTCATGCTCCAGATCCAAATGTGTTACTGTGACTTTACAGCCAGGAGAGGGCGCCGTTTAATCATATAGAGGCAGGCCACCACAGCAGTACTACAGGCAGTACTACATCAGAGTGCTCAGAGAAGTTTTACTGTCTTACAACACTGATTTATGGTATAGTTACTGTGTTTTTTTCATTGACTTGTTTATATCTTTTATATTGTCAGACAGCTCCTCTGGGAGGAAAGTCCATGTGTAGCACAGTGGTTTCAGTTGACTGTAGTGCAAATACACCTGTGTCTAATACTATTTATAGACTGTGCGTGGTTCCTAGTCAGGAAACTCACAAGATAAATGTGAAAAGTTTAATAAAACACTGGATGTGTAGCTCTACCGCTAAAACACGGAAGTACAGTGATCTATGAGGAGAAATCATTTTTGATGGAATTTCTCGCCAACCACTGACACGGCGACATGTGACAAGGGCATTGCAAGTAGACTGTGCTTCATCCTAAGGGCCAACAAGTCAAAAAAAAAATAATTAGGTGCCAATGTTCAGTGTGGCACAGCTGAACTCTCAGCTGTTGTCATATAATGCTGCAATGATTTCACTTCCTCCTCCCATGAGAACCAGATCTCACATTTTCATTGTATTATCTCCATGTATCAACCTGTTGAAGTTCATCAGATGTAACTCCAGTAGGAGGATATATTCAGTTTACTCCCTCTGACCAATCACTGATGGCAATTGTAGGTGGAAAACATGCAGTTTTCACAAAGAACATGTTGGATGCTCAGGGTTCATGGGTTTCACAGGAACTTACTGTATTTTATTTATTGGTGAAAGAGGTGTGATGATGGAAGCAGTATTTTTAAGTACTGTATTGAAAATGACATGTAAAGGTATCAAGGAATTATAAGCAAAATACACTTTGAATATCAGAAGTAGAAAAACACATAATGCTATGTAACAGTACATTTCATCTGTGTAAAATCTTAGTCTGGAAAGTTTATATAGTTCTCTCTGATATGAAGCCTGGTAGAATATAAGGACCTAACACAAAATGGTACTACTGTGATAGTCTGCAAGTACCTCGGATTTGTACTTAAAAAGTACTCCACTGATTTATCATTGCATTCCATTACTAGCAGCTGGGCCAATAGACTGCTGTTCCTTTATTGTAAAAGCCTGGCGCCTACATTACCCACAATGCACCTCTATTGCATGAATTTGGTTGTGTTATGTTTCCCTCAAGCAAAAATGAGGAGCAGCAGGTCTGGTAAATTTGCTCCTCTCCAGCTCCACACCCCCATATTTGTTTTCATTTCATTTTAAAACGTGTAGTTTTTAACCCGAACTGACGCGAGTGACGTCACTGGAGGCGATTTGTCAGATTGCCCAACTCCCCCTGGAATCCCAAAAGCTTTATACAGCTGTTTTTCATATGTTTATTTTGTGCTCCCATGCCCTGTACACAGACTTTGCCATGTAAAACCAGTAGGTTGGCCAGCTCTCACTCTCCTCCTGGCTGAGATGGTTTCATTTGATCAGATTTGAGAGATCCCTTGTTGATTTCGAAGTTTTTTTCAGCGAAGGTCCTGACTTGGAATACCGCTCACATTGTGTGTGCCAGCTCATCAGCATTTGAATGGCCGGTCCCATCATGCCACCTCAATGGGCGAAAAGAGGTGTTTGTCGAATACCTCAGTAAAAGTAGCTCATTCAAGATCTCCGTTTGGGGCGGGCGAAAGTTTCTGCCGGTGTGGAACCACTTTGACCAGGTGTGTAGAGTTTTAACGGGACAGGTTGCCAGTAGCGGTCAGTTAACTTGGTCAGTGGTTTAGGTAGAGCTGGAATCCTGTAGTGTGACTCGGCTTTAGACTGGAGGAGGAGGAAGGTTTGTTATAAACTCCATGGCCTGTGCAATGCAGCGCACAGCTTTACATCCAGAACAGGTTACAAACAGGTTGCTTCGGTTTCGGTCTCTTCTGAGGAGAGGAAGGGGTTAATCGGGAAGCTGCCGGGCCACTCCCAAACCTGCAGCTGCTACCTGGTTTCCTTAGCACCGACCTCGATCCTGGGAATTATTATCATTATTATTATTATTGGAAGCGCAATGAAGCGGTGAAATATTTCCACATCTTGCTGGGGTTTTCTCGCTGGATGTAGCCTGTTGAATATAAACCACAAAAACTTTTGCACCAGGTAAGTTTCACGACAGCTCCCCTTGGTTTTGCACCTGTTACAAGGTAACAGGATAGTCGGTTTGTGAAGGAGAAAGTTTTTGATAAGATTTAAGCTCAGATTTAACCAACTGTGTGTGGCACTACGAGTCCAGATGAGCTGCAGTGGTTGTGTGTCCACTGTAATTACCAGTGCAGTTTGTTGTTTCAGTGGGAAATCGGGTACACGTCTGCATTGTAAACCTGGCTATAATTTGTGTGTTTCATTTTCTTCTCTGTGGAAGCCTCAGTGACCCCCTACACTTGTAACGGGAGTGTAGACGTGCCAGGACCCCTCAGGCGCATTAATTCTTACCCCACAATGGAGGGCCATCTCCATGGTGATGTGAAGGTCTGGCCTGACTCCCAACGAGCAGAGCTTTTAGTGCCAGTTCTGCCGTGCAGTTGTGTGTGTGTGTGTGTGTGTGTGTGTGTGTGTGTGTGTGTGTGTGTGTGTGTGTGTGTGCGCTTGCGCGCTCAGATGTTGCAATTAGTCCATATGTAGGTCTCTTAATATCGAGGGTATAGACTGTTCTTTGGTCTAAAATGGGATATTAAGTGTACTAGGAGGTTGGGAATCTAACGTTTGGCTAGTGTTTAACTTCACAACTTGCAGATTTGAACACACTTGACAGGCCTGTTTCATTTTATGGTGATGTTTTTCTTATTGTTATGCTATGCGCGGCTTTTATTGCCATTATTTATGGCACCAGTGTGACCTTACACTTTAGAAGAGCTTCTGCTACTGAGCATGTCAAGATAATTGTAATAAAGTGTTCAACACACCATTGATCTTTGGCAACTAAAGGAAAAGTTGACTATGTTTGAAGACCTAGTACATACCATAGCACTGACAACCTAATATTTTGGTATTTTAAGACTGTTCCTGTTCCATTTAATTGTCACAGCTTTAGCAGAAGTACCTCACCTACAGGAGTGCACTCATCCCTGCTGCTCTGCGGGACAGACAAAAAACATGCCAAGAAACTGCTCAGACAGGTAGTGTGGGTGTCTCATCAGATCTGTCATGCCTGCTTCTCAGAACATGTGCTGGTCAAGAGCAGGTGCGTGTATATCTTTCACTTCCTAATAGTTCCTTGTCAGAACAAGCTCCTGGGATTTTTTTTTTCCTCCAGAGAATCAGTTGCTTACTCTGTAACATTAACGTAATCATAATACATGCGAGGCACTATTGAGGACTAGGCACAAGTGTTTTGAAATAAGTTTCTAAAAGGTATGAATAGGAGTTGCTCACACTAATAGTCCATCCTGTCACACAATGTTAGAGGAAGCAGGAAGCCTGAACTTTTCTTTTCGTTTGTCTCTTGTCTCACCTGGACCATCTCAGAGACACCCTGGGATACTGATCTTCAGAGCAATGTGTAGATAATCTGCCAGGAGGCCTCAGCTGGTCTTTGTCAAGAGCTGCACGAGCCACACACACACAGGAATATCTTTGTGTCATTACTGTTTGTCGTATGCTTTTGTACATGACATAGTCGTCCACCATTAGGTGCAACCTACTGTGAAAACAACCGTGTTTCACTGCAGTGATTAGTGTAATTACTGCTAAAGTCCGACATGGTTCAGAAAATCAGCCTGAACCTATTTTCAGTTTGTTTGCATGCTGTATGTTGATATTTACTTGCACCTCCATGTAAATGTCAAAGAGTGTGGACTTTCCATTTTGATTGGCTCGTGTATAGCTACCTCGGAGACTACTGCAACAGCTGGTACTTACAGAGCTCCTCTCCGACACAGAAACGGCCTCATCTACTAAGTGAGAGTGGGAGAAATGTGTCTGTAGGTTTTGTCCCTGGGCACAAAGAAGGATTCCACATTGGGCATTTCTGGATTTATCCTGGATTCTGGGCCATGGTGAGTGTGAAGCAAGAGGTAGGTGGAGCTACACCGATTCAATAGCCCAACTGTGTGCTTTGTGGCGTGATTTGGGCCCCAATTTGGTTCTCCATTGTTTGATTGGACGTGTGTAATACGGTCAAGTAATCAGGCAGATTGCTGCTTCATGGATTGCTGAGGGCAGAGAGTTGTCTCCTCTGCTCTGAACGGTTTTCTCTCCAAAGGCCTAAAAACAGTTGTGAGAAATTTGCACGGCTTTGTCAGCTAAAAGGTTTTTTCATAACAGACGTGAAAGATATTCTTCACCACAGTCTGACAACTCAAAAACCAGATGTAACAGTAGAATCTTTTCAAGGTTTTTCTTGGGCACATTTGAATAGCAAACTATTGGGGCACTTAAGGAAACTATTTTGGATGTTCCAGGAAGCAACAGGCATGTTACCCACTAGGGAGTGAAAAGCAATTGGCAATAATAGCTGCAGCAGTATAAACAGGAGTTGCCCACAAGCCTCGAACCTAATGTGAGATGACCACATGTGTCTTCACTGGCAAATGCAGTGCGGTGTAAAAGGAAGTGTTGCTTGAACAAGTGAGCTTCAAACCAGACTTCCTGTTTCAAACATTCACCCCCATAGACTGCACTTTTAACAGCAAAATGATTCATCAGAGTAGCAGCTCTTCCATGTTATTATGGGAAATTATTGCTTCCTCCTTTTCCCATTATTACCATCTGAGTGACCTACTAGAAAAGAGTTGAACAGTGAACATTGCTGTCGTTTCCTTTTTATCATATGGGCAGGAAGTAGGCTGAAGTGACCTGGAAAGCTGGTGTCACTCCCTCTATCTAACCTTCTCTGTCTTGTTTTCATTGTCTC